CCTGGATAATTGGATCAATAAATCCCAAGAGGCCAAAACTCTCTTGTCTTCATGTTCCTGAATGGTGGTCGCAGTCTGATAGGGTTTTATATTCTTTTCCTCATTTTTTCCCACTGGGGTTTTGCAGCAATGCTATAGAAGCATTTTATCTTTAATTGCACAAAAAACAAGCATTATGAGGTTAACAAAATAGCTATGGATGTTTAGACTGTACAGAGCCAAATAAAAGTTTGAGCTTAGAATAAATTTGGGACTCATCTCTTTCTTGATGGTTCTATAATGAGAAATTCAGCATTTCCAACAATGGAGATATCTAGGTGATTGCCTTTTCAATCATATTAACTTTGTTGTGGAAAAGAAAGAGAATACTAGGAGGTAACCTATTAAGGAGACTTCAGGAAAGCTGGACTTAAAAAGAGGAATAGGGCAAGAATAGGATGTGGTAACTCAGCATGGGGCATTAGGTTAAATGCATATGGAACATAGTAACAAATGAAGCTTCCTGGTTATAGAATAGAGGAACATAACAAATACTCCAGCAGGTAACAGGGTCAGGGCAATGAAAGATTCATAATGATGACAACCATAAAACTTGGACCATATCATTCTCAGTGTATAATAGGAAGAACAGTTATATGATATTAATAGTTGACTTGAAGATTCGGATTGTCATGGATGTTTTGTTTTAAATTTGGATGCTTTTGAAGTTTATGTTATCAATTGTCATTCAGTGATTACAGCAAAAGACCTACTGTTTGGACTGGTTACTGAATACCAATATATATATAGACATACACAGTGTTTTCAACCCGCCGTTGACTACCGGTCGAACCGTCACTCGGCCAAAATTTTGGGTCCAGTTCAGTCAAGACCCGTCAGATGGTAAAAAACCATTGACTTGGTCAAGAACCGTTTGACCCAGCTGGTTCAACTGCTGACCAGTTCAACCCGGTCACCGGGTCATGGGTTGCACACTCAATGTATGCAAACTTTTGAAGGCCATAACTTTGCACTCCGATATCCGATTGGTTTTTTTTTTTTGAATTTGGGTAACTTTTCGAGATCTATGTGTCCCAAGGTGTTGTAGGCGCCTTTCCCCACTATTTTCGCGAAAAAGAAACCCTTTTTGGCCTCAAATTACAATTTTTAATATTTTTTTATAAATAAAAAAATAAAAAACTGAGTTAAAAAATATAAATGAAATATAAAAATACATATAACATATCTAAAACATATTTATACATTATTTATTGATAAATATATATTTATACATATATACACATATATTTATACATATGTATATATGTATATATACACATATATAAGTATATATACTTAATACATGTATATGACGATGTGGAACGGTCTGAACCATTCGACCTGGCCGATCGAACCGGTGACCTGGAGGCAAAAATGGTTCGGCCTCTGGGTTGGTTTTTAAACATTGGATATACAGGAGCCAAATATTAAAATGAAATATTATTGAAATTGTTCCGGTTATTTTAATCATCTCAAATAGATATTGATTTGCTGCCTACTAAAATTTCAGCAATGAATAGATTAGTTATGGTTGGCAGGTGTACTTTGAATCTTTGATGTATGGATTTGAGTTGTATTGATCATGCACAAGACGGGAATCATGCATATTTCAGTTCTCAAAAAGGTTAAAAAAGCAAGATAAGATCTGTAAAAAATATCAGACATATTAAAGCACCTTCTGAATATATGAAAAGGATAGCTTACTAGTTATGTTTTATAGGGGTGCTCATGGTTCCGTTAACTGAACCGTTGGCCTTTTTTCTAAACCGAACTGATAGTACTGGCTTTTGGAAAACCGGTAACCGAAACCGAATTGAATCTGATTGGTCAACCGGTTGATAGGTTTGGTTAACTGTTGGTTCAGTTTGTCAGTTTTTTGGTTTTCTATATTCATAATATTATATATAATAAATATAAAATATTATATCATAAATATATATATATTTATAATTTATAATGCATATATATATATTCATTTATAATATATAAATAATATAAACTATATATAATATACATAAATATGTACTCTCCTTTTATTATCTTTAACGAAAGTTACCGCTTCTTATCAAAAAAGTAATATATGTATACCGGTTGGTTTGGTTAACCGGAATTTTTGGTTCGGTTCGGTTTTTCAGTTTTTCTTGATCACCCTTAATGTTTTATCGTGGTTATGTTTGAAAAAAAAAGAGTACGTATTACAGTGATGCAAATGTAACAGTGTCTTGAAGGATTAGCTTATGGTAAAAAATAGAAGAAACTTTACATTATATGGTTGGGTCTGTGTGTCCAAAGCCTAATGATGCAGCTTTCTTGGCAGTGAGTTCACAAAATCCTTAGCTTCCAGAAGCATGTATAAGATCTTGGACAAACAAAAGTGAGATAAAGTTACTTTGGAGCCCAAAGGAATATAAGCTTCATAGACGATTGAGGCACATAGTGCACATTTAATCAATGAATGCAACAATGAATCTATAAATTCTAAGCTTGTCCATCTTTGTTTCTTGTGCTTAAGTTGGGCCAAGGGAAGAAGCTTCTTGGCAAATTGAATGTGTATTGGCTCTTGTAGATGGACAAACTACCAATGTTGGACAGGTCTAAAATTCTGACACTACCTATGAAACAGTTTTTGGATTTTCTTTTTTGTTTCTTTCCTTGCATGACATAAATTATTATTTACCATGCCTTATGAATTTTACTTTTTCCTGGAAAAAGTTTCAAAGGTGGAAAAATTACATTTTTATAGTTATTTGCCCTTGTCTGTTGGTGTATGATAATATTGGCTATCCCATTGCTTAATTCAATATATTTATTAGGAAAAAATAACTACTTGCTTCTACTTGGTAATAGTAATACGTTTTTTCTTGTTTTGTTGGTTCACCAATCTACAGCTTTATGGACAGTTTAAACCATATGCTGTCACCGTATAATTGTAATAGCTTACAATTTTATGTCCATGCCTCTGTGTATTTCGTTACTACCACTTCAAGTGCCCAACTTTCAAAGGTCTTGGGTCATCCAGGATTTTCTTTTAAAGAAGAAAAAGCCATTTTGATTCCATTTGAAATGCATATGTCGCTAGGAGAGGAGATGATCCCTGCAACATTAATCACTAATTGTAATAGTTTCAAAAATTATGAAAGTGGCCAGTTATATGGAACATCTGACAAACTAAAATCCTACTTTAATTTTGTACTCTAAGAAAGGTTATGGTCAACCTGGATCAGCCACCAGTCTCTTGTTGAAGTTTCTGGTTGTTAAACCTAACTCATGAGCATTTAGTACTCTAGACAACTTGGACAGTTGGACCAGCCACCAGTCTCTTGTTGAAGTTTCTGGTTGTTAAACCTAACTCCTGAGCAATTAGTATTTCATATGTTCTATTTTTCAAGATTGCATATATTGTTGAGGCATCTTGTTTCTCATTTAATTTCAATTATTCTTCAGGTTGTTCTGGCAGCGCAGTTGTTCTGTTGGACTGGACAGTTCATAGGCCATGGGGTCTTTGAGGTGATTTATTGTTCTAATTTGAAACATGATTCATCATTACCATTCAGGTTTATACAACTTATTTTATACTTGTGTAGAAACGGGCACCTGCTCTTTTGGACAACCTTGTTCAAGCCTTTTTGATGGCTCCTTTCTTTGTTTTGCTAGAGGTAATTTTCTAAAGCTTTTTCAATTCTGTGATGTTTCTCTTATTTTAAGAGTAAGTTGGGCATACTTCATTATTGGTTGTTGCAGGCTCTTCAAATGTCCTGTGCTTATGAACCATACCGGGGTTTCCATGCAAATGTGAAAGCAAAGATTGATGCTGAAATCAAAGAATGGCAGGCTAAGAAGCAGAAGAAGATTTCCTAGTTTGGAGCTAGGGTGTCAAAGAAACAGAACATTTCCTATTTCACAGGAGGGGATAGTTTGCAGTGAATACTAGTTGCATAGAGTTGTGGATCCTTCGTCTATGTTCAATTGAATCCATGATAGACTATAGCTTCTGTACATCAGGAGATATACCTTATGAAAGCAACATACAGGTTTCATATAAATATGGTGTTTCATATTGCTTGAAAAATTGCATTCTGGATATAAGACATACAAATGGCACTAACTATGGCTGTTTGAGTCATTGGAGATTCTATTAGAGATGCTTAGGGAGAAATATAATAAATAGAAGATTACAATCATCTGATCTGGTTAATCCTTGGACCTAGGAAATCTATTTGATGGGATGAAAACATAACCTGCTGGTTGTAGTAAGCTCTGTTTTCACCTTTTTTTTTTCATTTTCAACAAATAAACGTATTAATTCAAAAGGGTGTACATGAGCAGTCCATCACAATAAAATTATGGGAACATAGATCTAAAGCTATACAAAGAGACCCTCTCCACCCGAACTAGCAAGTAGATCAGAAACAAAGTTAATTCCCTTGTAATCCATCTGAAATGAATTTGTAAGCATGCTGTGATTTCCCTAGATTAATTAAAAAAATCGAGCCAATTTCATGGACCTTCTCTCTAGATCCTTGATCTATCTGCTCTCATTCACTGAAGCCCCTTCCACAGATAAGGAGAAAGGACCAAGCTGTTGTGCCATTGGATGGCCTGTAGAAGATCAATAACAAAGCATTAGCCTTTAGGAGAAAGGACCAAGCTGTTTTGCCCTGATTGTAAGAGATGGTAATAATGTGATCTTTAGCTTTTAGTTTGTTCTAACCAGTACTTGGATTATCCTCATGGAATGGCTCTACGAAATAACCCCTGTATGTTCTGAAGTTCTTTTCCTTAAGGCTCAACTTGGGATGAGTGCATATACAAATATGTTCAGTGTAAAACCTTGCATACTGTATTTCTAACGAATCTAAACCTTGTATTTGCACACTGAGCCAAAGTAATAGTTGTTTAAACAGCAGTAAATGTAATGTGTAAAAGGTTTGCATTTTTATTAGTTCAAGCAGGAAATTTGGTATTTTTCTACATACTGTAAGGTTGTTCTTCTTTTCTTTTCTTTCCTTTTACTTTTCTCATTTCTGTTGGTTTCAATATCTAGGTTGAAGTTATAGGAACTAATATATACTGAATTAAAGGAAATCTGTCATAAGCTTATAGCAGTTTTGCAGCAATTTGTTTACAGCAGTATGGACAGTGTGGTTTGAATAGGCAATTACAATGGGTCCATTACAACAAAAAAAAAAAATAGAGGACATCCAAAATGTGTTAAATTGGGTCAAGGAAGAATTATGGTTTTAGGCTTTTAGCTGTAGTTGTAGTTGTCTTTTTCAGTTTTGGTTACTACAATATTTTATAGTCGACTCCACATCCAAAGATACAGTATGGTGGACCCCAATGTAGCTGTTGCCAGGCTCTGGTTTTTGAACTCCCATGCTCCTCATTGTTTTTCTTACTTTCAACATGTCATTCCACTGGCCTGCACTCGCATACATGTTTGCAAGAAGAACATAGTCTCCGCTATGCTCTGGCTCCAACCCCAGAAGATGCCTTCTCACACATTCCCCTAGTTCAAGGTGCCCATGAACCCGACATGCACCCAACAGTGCCCGCCAAACAATTGCATTACACCTGATAGGCATGGTCTGTATCAGATGGTAAGCTTCGTCCACTAATCCTGCTCGTCCAAGAAGATCCACCATACATCCATAGTGCTTTATGTTTGGTTGAATTTGGTACTCCATGTTCATACTTTCAAAATACCGTCTTCCTTCATCTACCATCCCTCTGTGACTGCAAGCACATAGCACTCCTAGGAAGGTAACGTCATTCGGTGTGTCAAGCTTCCTTTCTACCATCTTGGAGAAGAGTTTTAATGCTTCATCAGCATGCCCGTGCATCGCGAGTCCTAGGATCATCGAGTTCCACGTTACTATGTTCTTCTCATTCATCTCATTGAACACCTGACGCGCCTTTTTAATTGCCCCGCACTTGGCGTACATATCAATCAACGAATTGGAGATGGAAATGATACGTGCATGACTGGTACAATTGATACGAAAATGGACCCACTTCCCAAAATCTAATGCACCCAATTCAGAACATGCAGAGAGGACCACAACCAAAGTGGCTTCATCAGGTTCTACGTTACTTTGTTGCATTGTTGAGAACAGGTCCAGTGCTTCTTTGTATCGCCCGCAGTGAACGTAGCAATCGATAATGGTGTTCCAAGCTACTAAATCTATTCTGGGTATTTCATCAAACAGCAAACGTGCGGTTTCAATGTCCTTAAGCATGCCGTACATGTGAATGAGGGTGTTCCTCACATAGACATGCGAGTCCAGGCCACGCTTCTGGGTAGAGCAGTGAATTTGCTTGCCCAACTCCACCGAACTCAACTGCCCGCATATCTTGAGCAAGAAAGAGTAGGTGAAGTTATCTACTGTGTGTCCCTTATTCTGCATTCTCCTGTAGAAGTCGAAAGCAGCTTCCGGTTTGTTCGTATTTCCAAATCCCCTAATCATGGTATTCCAAACGAACCCGTCTGGATTTTGGATTTGTTCAAAGACTGAAATCGCGTAATACATTGGTCCATGCCCGGACACTGCACAAAAGTTGATGATTTTGCCCACCACATAGAGGTTTTGGTCAAATCCAGTTTGGATGACTTGGGCATGAATTTGCATCAAATCCTTCATGGTGGAACACTGCTTCAAGAGGGAGAGGAGACTTTGTTCTCTTGAATTACTGCTCTCATGTGGATTTGATTTTAATGTTGTTGTTGATAATTTTGACGAAGGAAGGGGTAGTGATGGTGGTGTTGAGGAAGAAGATGCATGGAGCGCCACCGAGAGAGACCATGATGCATGAAACCATGTTCTTTTAATAGAAAAACAAAGGGAAGGCTCAAGGTATGATTTTAGGCAATTGAAGCAGTTGTTAGTATTCATACTCGATAACTAATAACCGGATTGTTCCAACTTCCAACTAAATTCCAATAGGCCACATCCACACTCCACATAAAGGGCAGAGCCCACCCAAGCCCCAGCTCAATTTTATGATTTGTTTGAGCTTCTAAAATGAGAATGGATAGGATATTGACAAACCCATTCAAAGGTCAACTTTTATTCATTTTTGGAGAAAAGTGAGATATTCCTCAAGTCAACTAATAGCCCGCTTACATAAACACTAATTTGTTGGTAGACCTGTTCATGGGCCAGGTAATTCGATGGTTCAGCCCAGCCTCCGCACCCCGGTCGGGCTTAGTCATGTAATTAGGCCCGCGGGCCTGACCTTGGGCCTAACACAATAAGCCTGACTGTGTTTCGGGTTGGGCTTGGGATTTGTCAAAAAAGCTCTGCCCGACTCAGTATTATATATTTTATAAAATACATAATATGTATTTTATATATTATATAAAATATATAAATAATATAATATTTATTGAAATATATATATTTATAATTTAATATATACAATTTTATTTTTATTTTTTATAATTTCTCTCTCTTTCTCTATTCAGCCGCTTCAGCAATAATAACAGTATGGGTTAAATTTCGGGCTCGGGCCCATATTGTAGGCCCGATGGTTAGGTCGGACTCACCGACGTCATGAATGCATAAGCCACCGACAGCAGGAAAAAATACACCGTCCCCCGCCTTGATCGGGTGACAAGAACTCTGATGGCCGCCTTGATCGCTCTCACTGTCACGGAGCTAACAACAAATAAGGGGGAGAATATGATCTGGAAATGAACTCCGGTGAGAAGAAAAGAGGGGAAGAAGAGAGAGAGAGATGGAACAGGTTGCGCCGAGTTCAGATCGTCCACTGCAATCGACCACAACAGGAAGCCCGCCAGTGTTGACCCACCTTCGTTCGCCTGAAAAACCCGCCGGTGTAAGGCTTCGATCTATAGAAAAGAGAAAACATAAAGCCCTTGTAAGAAGAAGAAGAAGAAGAAGAAGAGGCCAAAAAGCATATCGTCGGAGTTCTCGCCGTCGATGGCCGTTGGTTCGGGTCACCGTCCGCTGATGTATGGTCACCGGTGTGTGGTTAGGGTTCGGTGGATAGAGGCTTAGACAACCGAATATTTTTGTCTTTTTTGTGGCCGGTTGAACCGGTTATCCCATGTTAACGTGCAAAGCTCGTTAATGTTATAAATCTCGATCTGGACACATGGTCGATAGGGGTGTAAAAGGATCGAATTCGAATTGGATTATGTAATATCTGAATTCGAATCTGATTAGAAAATCCAATATCCGAATTTGATTTGATATTTGACAAATATTGAAAATTAATATTCTAATTCGAATTCGATTAAATATTTGAATATTTGATTTTATTCAAATTTGATTAATTTATTATTTTAGATAATTAATAAATATATAAAATAAATACTTTATTGATATAAAGTATATAAATATATAAATTATTTATATAACTTAATTATTATATAAAATATTTTATATATTATCAAGTCATATCTGAATTCGAATTCAATTAACTATTCGATATGAATAGAATATCCAAATTCGACTGATTAGATATTCAAACTATCCGAATTTGATTCGATTTTGTCAAATATCAAATTTGAAATCAGATTTTCGAATACCGTTTACACCCCTAGTGGTCGATTGTGGTTGGTGGATTCATGCGTCCAATAAACCCACCAGTGCGCAAAACACGGACTCATTAACTTCTCATCCCATTTACTCATAATTTATATTGAAATGGTAGGAATAAGGGTGTCAATGGACCCTGTCCAGTCCAAAATCAATTTGAACAGATTGAATGGTTCAGATATTGAATTGAACCGATCCAAATTGATTCAAAACATTCACTGGATTAGATTGGACCTGATCCATTTATAATAGACTCACATTATACTGGATCGGATTGGACCAAATCCAGTCCAATTGACACCCCTAGGTAAAAACCTAACAATTGAAATCCTAAATAAACCTGGGCGGGGCCTCAGATCAAATGCAGTTCAAATTTAAAATCATTACTATTTTTCAAGTCTTCTAGAAGCCACATCATGTTCAATGCGTGGTGCCCAAATACTTACTCTATTCTTACCTTATTCATCAGCAGATTTTATGAATACAATTGATTATGAAATAATGTATAAAACAAATTTAAGCAGGATAATCCAAAACATATATGGCTCATAAATTATCCATATATAGAGTTTTGGATTTTCAAAGAGAGAATCCTTTGTTGTTTGTATTGCCATACAATCCTATATAATCTTTAGGAATTAAGAGTAGAGATGAAAAGGACTTTTTTTTTACTTGCTGGAGTTTCCTATCCTACATAGAATAATCAAACAACACTGTTTTCCGAGTTTGCAGGGCATTTGCTTGCACGGTTTTCTTACATAGACTAATCAAACAGAACTGTTTCTTGGATTTAAACTGGGTTTTGATTCAAACAAAAAATTCATGAGGTCTTTGTGATCGGCCTCAATCAAGCTACAGCCAGGCTCTTTCTTCACCCCACTGTCATCCATCAACTTCCTCACCTTCTCCACGCCATCCCACTCACCCATGGAAGCATAGATGTTTGAAAGTAGTACGTAATCCCCACTCTGGTCCCGTCTCATTGCAAGGAGTCGTTCGTTTGCGCGCTCTCCTAATTCAACATTTCCATGAGTTCTACAAGCCCCGAGCAGAGTCCTCCAAATAATGGCATTGGGTTCAACGTCCATGGCCTCTACAAATTTGAAAGCTTCATCCAATAGTCCTCCACGCCCTAGCATGTCTACCATACACCCATAATGCTTAAGATTAGGTTCAATGTCGTACTGAATCCTCATAAGATAGAAGTATCGACGACCCTCATCAACCATCCCACCATGACTACAGGCAACCAAGACACCCACAAAAGTGATCTCATTTGGCCTGATTTTCTCTCTGAGCATTTCCTTGAATAGACAGATTGATTGCTCAGCATGACCATGAAAGGCTAAACCTCCTATTATGGAATTCCATGTGGAGACATCCTTTTCTGTCATCCCTCTGAACACATCGAGTGCCTTTTCAATGCTGCCACACTTGGCATACATGTCTATAAGTGCATTTCCAAGAACAATGCTTAGTCYCGAAYCCRTCTCCAAAAGAGAGGAGTGTATCTGTTKGCCAGCCTCCAAAGCCCCAGAGTCTGCACAGGCAGACAACAGGCTCAACATGGTCACTTCATCAGGCTGTTCTCCTGCACGTCGCATCTCTTCAAACATTTCCAGAGCTTGGTCATTGGACCCAGATAGTACGTACCCCGCAATCATCGCATTCCAAGTCACTACATCTCTCTCTGGTACTTGATCGAAAAGCTTCCTCGCACAATCCATCTCCCCACGCTTGGCATAACCAGTGATCATTACATTCCACGAAACCAAGTCTTTAACAGGCATTTCGTCGAAAATCTGACGAGCCATCTCCAAATTACCTCGTCTAGCATAACCGGCGGTCAAGGCAGACCAAGCGACCACATCCCGTTTAGCCAATCCATCAAAAAGCATTGTAGCAACAACCAAGTTTCCACAGTTAGCATGAAAGTAAATAAGGGTATTCCTCACAAAAGTATTGTGCTCGAACCCAAGTTTGATAATCTTTCCATGAATCCCATTACCCATTTTAACCAATGAAAGTTTAGTGCAGGCCTTGAGAAGAAACGGAAAGGTGAAGTTATCAGGACGTACACCCCTCGCTTCCATTTTGGTATAAATAGAAATAGCATTTGAAGGAGCCGGACTTTGAGCTGAGCCTCTAATCATTGTGTTCCACATGAAGATGTCCGGTTCAGAAATCTGCTTGAACAGTTGGTGTGCGTAATCCATGGTCCCAGAGAGGGCAATGGCGCAGGTGTAGATAAGCTCTCTCAATGCGGAACGGCTGGAGTTGAAACCGTGGATTACCATAAAACCATGAATTTGCTTCAGAGTTCGGATATTTGTACAATGTCGCCATAGATTCGACCGTTGATGGAGGTTGGAGCCGTGGCCGTTTTTCTTCCTGATCATCACAATTCACAATGACTTTTTAACCATTCCATCAGCTTCACTTGCCTCCATAAAAGTCCATTGTCGTCCATTAACCGCTAGATTGAAGTCTTTAGTCCACGCCTATGATGTGAAGTCTTTATTATATTCCCATGATGACCCACTGGCAACGATTAAAGTATTAATATCTTTTTGGACAGTTTTGATAGAGATAAGTTTTGGAAACGCATGGATACAGGCCAAAAACATGGAAACATTTAGATATGATAGGGAACATTATAAAAGTTTTATAATTATATTAATAATATTAAAGTTCAGATGAAATAACAAAAAAAAAAATAATGTATAAATATATATAAAATGTATATTTTAATGATGTATTAGAAAGAATATATTACAATTAATATAATAAGATATAAATATCAAACAATTTTATTGATAATGTATCAATGAAGAATCCAAAATGCAAAACATATGCTCCTATTATATTTTAATTATTATATCAATTATTCTCTATTTTACTATTTTTACATTTTTACATTAATAAAGTAGTCAACAGAATACTAAATTATCAAATGTAAATTAAAATATTAATTAATAATTTATAAAACATATAATCTCAACCTAAATTATATCAAATATATTAAAATATTTAAGATACATATCATAGGCAAATTCATAATTTTTAACTACTAAAATGATTATTTCATTATTAATATTTTTATTTCTATAAATTTTTAAAATTAAAAAATATTTTTTATAGTAATGTAGATTAGTAGATTTGATAGATCCAATTTAATATTATATTCTTGAATATTTTGTAAACAATTTTTTATTTTTGTAAATAATAAATATGTTGTAATTTAATGTAAATTAAAATATTAATTAATAATTTAAATGCAAATTTATAAATTTTAAGTATTAAAATATGTATTTTATTATTATTATTATTATTATTATTATTATATTTATATAAATTTCTTGAAATTGAAATAATCTTTTGAAACAAATATGGATTTGATATATTATTTATTCCATAATTTTATAAAATTTTAATTTTGAATATTTTTTAATTCAAGTTGTTAAACATAAATATTTAATATGTATTTGGATTGCCTTTCGACAATAATAACAAAGGTTATTTTATTTTACATATTCACATAAGTGCTAGGATAACTTCATGGCTTAAGAATATCTGCCCAAGTTTGAATCACCTCAACACTCTTTTTTAGGAAAAGGTGTGTGCACACACATTCGTGTATCGTGCATAGTGGCATGTAGTATTGGTTCGTATCGGTATGTATCGGACTATATCCATATCGGTCCGGTACGCATGACTGGCAACATCACCTCCAATTGTAGCGTATCCCATGGATGCTACTAATACCAATATGATACGCCCCATATCGGACATATCATATCGATATTTTAATCCTTGTCTAGTAGGCAATAGATGATAAGGCTGCAACTTGGGCCAAGTTGGCCCGAACCCAACTAGAAAAAGTTGGGTTGGGTTGGGTCGGGTTGATGCTTGGGTTAGGGTTAGGTTGAAATTCATGAACCCGACTTTATTTTGGATTGTGTTAGGGTTGACCCCTTGGGCAACCCAACCCAATAGTATATGTCATATATAAGTATATGTAATATATATTATACATCATACATTAATTTGTTTAGATGTATATTAGTTTTATAGCCCTCACTACATACTATCATGTCTTTCTTTTAAGATAATCACTTCACTTAATCCCAAATGAAAAGACTAAAACCTTAATAGCATATTTTATATTTTTTTGGATATTTTATTTTTCATCTCCTCTCTAATGTTTGCCACCCATAAAAGATCTATCAAAAATCATAACCCATAATAAATTATAGTCACTTCAAACACTTATTTTTCTGAATTTTGTACTAAATGAATAATAAAAACATCAACAAACAAATACAAATAAAACATAGGATTAATATAATAGTAAAAATTGAGTTAAGATTTGAGATTAAATAGTTTTATGAGATTTTTTTAAGGGATGGAAAGAAGGTTGAATGGACCCAACCCAAAATTGACTTCGGGTTGGATTGGGTTGGGTCAAGAGTTGAAGGAATTTAGTTAGGATTAGGGTTAGGGTCGGGTAGATCAGGTTGAAGGTTGGGTTGGATGAGGATTGAGAATTTAGAACTTAGGATTGAAATAGGATTGGCCTCAACCCAACCTAACCTGGCCCCACTTGCAGCCCTAATAGCTGATGAGGTCACTTGGCATTATGTCATGTGTAAGTTTGTGACTGATTTTTAGACACATGGTCCCACCCTCGGTCTCTTTAAACGAGCCGGATTCGGATTGATTATTATCAGCATTTAATAAAAATATGATATTTAAATAAGCACTTATATATGCAAATATCATCTAATCAAATTAGATTGGGATACCTCAAAATCTGATTCGATTGTAAATTGATCGGATATTTGAGATCCAAATCCAGTTCAATCGAATACAATTTCAAACTCAGACTCGGATAATATGTTGGACAAGTCAATTCAAAGCCTTACTCATCTCTACAACTACAAGTGTGACCACAGGTCCACAGTACATTAGAGTTGCATCCTTTTCCCACTGTTTGCAAACCGGAACGGACTGTATGGTCGAACCATTTGAATTAGGAATTGGTCATGTTTTTGGCTCCGGTTTTGGATTAGACCACTTTTTCGAAGAAAAAGCGTTGAATTGATTAGAAAACCACTGACCTGAATGATTGAACTATTAAACCACTCGACTCTGAATGTATTTGTTGTTTAATAAAAAAATTATTTAATTCTTTTTAAGATTATTAACAGAAAAAAAAAGATTGAGACGATCTTAGATTTGATATTGCTAAGATCAGAGAGAGAGAAGCAAGATCTTAAAAGTCAGATCTAAGATTAGAAAAAGAGAGTTGTCACTGTCATCATTGCTAGTGGAAATCGGCTTTCTCCTTCTTCCTTTATTTTTTCCTTCCTTTCTTTCTTTTCCGTCTTTCTACCTTCATTTCTTTCATTTTCTCTTTTTTTCCTTTCTTTCCTTTCTTCTTTGCTCATAAAAAAAAGAGATATCTGTATATGTTTATCCTAATATCCCAATCTAAGGGTCAAGCTGAACTGCTTAAACCATTTGACTTGAATGGTTGAACTACTAACTTAAAAACTGATGATTAAAGCGGTTCCATTTCTAGTTCGATTTTAAAATATTGCCTTTTTCATTACAAATGGAAATTGTTCATGGAACTGGAGGGTATTGGGCCAAGCATGATTATGCCACATCATTATGATATGGAACCCACGTGTACATAGATGATGTGGTCTATATCAACCCATGTCAGGATTAAAACATTAGTTTGATTTATTTGCAATGCAATTTCATATGCTATATCAAAAATGCATAAATGGATCATATCGGATTCAATCAAGGTATATCCGAATATGATCGGATATTATAAATTGTGGATCAAATCCAATTTGAAGATTTGATAAGATTTCACAAACATTGATTCAAATTTGAATCTAATAAGGATGACGGATATTCAAATTTGATCCATTGAATTTAACTTTTAAAAAATATAATAAATTATTAAAATATATAATAGTTTAAATAAAGAAAAACAAAAAATACAAGTAATTTTTTCAACTATTTTCATCATATATATACAGGGATTGGTTCTCCACCTACGAATCTATTAATGGTGGAGTTCTATTGATGGGCAATAATGCCTCCTATAAAACCGTGGAAAAAGGAACAATTCGAATCAGAATGCATGATGGTGTTGTGAGAACATTAACAAATGTACAACATGTATCGGACTTAAAGAAAAATCTCATCCCTCTTGGCATTCTAGATGCTTAAGAGTGTAAATATTCAGCTAAAGGTGGAGTTCTAAAATTAGTAAGGGTGCTCTTGTTGTAATGAAAGACATGAGTATAGGAAGTTTGTATGTGCTACAAGGTACTACTATCACAGGTTCAGTTGCAATTTTTACATCATCTCTGAGTTTGACACCACCAAATTATGGGACATGAAGATAGGACGTATGAGTGAAAGAGGACTTACTATGTTAAGTAGGAGAGGTCTTCTTTGTGGCCAAAGCATATGAATTCTTGACTTCTGTGAATATTGTGTTTTCGGGAAACAGAAAAGAATCAATTTTAGTACAGTTGTTTACAGGACGAATGTCACTTTGGATTATATTCACTCAGATCTATGGGGACCTTTACAAGTTCCATCAAATGGTGGTGTTTGATATCTTCTTACCATCATTGATGACTATTCTATGAAGGTATGGGTTTATTTTCTGAAGCATAAAAATGATGTATTTGTGACTTTTAAACAGTGGAAAACTTTGCTTGAAAAACAAACAAGAAAACAGGTCAAACAGTTGAGAACAGATAACGGTTTAGAGTTTTGTGAAAATGAATTTATTAAGTTTTGCAAAAATTAAGGCATTGTAAGGCATCGTCCTGCTATCAAAACACCACAGTAGAATGGAGTTGCAGAACGTATGAACATAACTGTACTAGAGAGAGCAAGGTGCATGTTGTCAAATGTTGGGCTATCAAAGGCTTTTTGGGCGGAAGCAGTTAATATGGCTTGTCACCTGGTAAACTGATCTCCATCTGTAGCCATTGAATGTAAGACTCCAGAAGAGGTATGGTCTGACAACCCTCCTAATTATTCAAATTTGAAAATATTTGGTTGTCCAACATATGCACATGTTAATGAAGGCAAGCTTGAGCCTTGGGCCTAGAAGTGCATATTTCTTGGTTATGCTTCAGGTGTGGAGGGATACAGATTACAAAAGGCTACAGTCAGGTATAAGGTATTGATTTTAATGATATTTTCACACCAGTTGTTAGACATGGCTTCATTCGTGTTTTTGTTGCTTTAGTTGCTATGCATAATTTGGAATTAGAACAATTAGATGTTAAAATTGCTTTCTTGCATGGAGAACTTAATGAACATATTTATATGAATCAACCTGAAGGTTTTGCTGTTGAAGGGATGGAAGACTATATTTGCTTGTTAAAGAAATCTCTATATGGCTTAAAACAATCTCCTAGACAATGGTATAGAAGATTTGACTCTTTTATGGTGGCTCTTGGATATTCTAGATGCCAGTATGATACTTGTGTTTATTTTAGGAAACTTGCAGATGATTCTTTTGTTTACTTGTTGCTTTATGTTGATGATATGCTTAT